AGAAACTGCTGTTCAGAACAAACCAGAAGCATGAATCATCCAGAAAAATGTGACTCTCCTTAATATTGGTTTTGTTTAAGAAAAAGGGAAGTGCAGTACACAGTTGAGAAGGGATTAATCAGGAATCTTTTTTAAAAAAACTTTTGGAACTTTAAAGGACAGGTTAAAGTCTCTGGAAATTTCAATTAGATGAAGCACTGTTCTTCAACAATGTATGGTAAATAGATATGGTTGGGTAGAACATAATCTTCATTAGCAGTGCTTCCTTGTAAGGACTTTAGCTTCAGCGATGTTCTTTCTCATCTTCCTAGTGCTTGTTGCACTTTGTGAAACATGTTTTTCAAGGTGTCCACCTGGAAATGACCAGTTCATAAAAGAGCCCAGACTCTCCATTTTGATTTTACTTGGTGGAGCCTCTGGGGTGGGCTGGGATGCCCTGGTGAGGACTCATGAGTAAGCGGTGCATCACATGCAGGTCAGCAGTTAACAAAAAAAAAAAAAAAAAAACATATATTTATCACTTCAGATGTGGAAAAAATGCTCAACTTTGTGTGTTTTTAAAACCAGAACATTCAGGCTGATGACTCAAGCGAAAGGCCTCTGTCTGCCGGCGGAAGCAGCAACATGCTCGTCTCCAGCACAAGGGATGCAGGGGCATCTCCCCGTGTGCCCAGACAGCCTTTTGTCCCTCGGCCACATGAACCTGGCAGCACCAGAGTGGCCTGGGTTTCTGCCTGTAGCCTGTGGGTGCCAGGGGCTGGGAGCTTCACTGGTAGCCCGAGGGAGGAGCCAGAAACAGCTCACCAGAGATGGTAGCCTTGGGTGGTACTGATTCAGGCAAAGCTGAGGCTTGTGAGCGAAATTTTCCAAGCAGACAGCAAGCTTAAGTGGAACGAAATTAACAAGTGGCGGTTAGGGGGAAAGAGCTGTCTGGGGTTTATTCAGCAACAGCGAGGACCTCTGGAATGTAGAGTTCAAGGTACAGAGTAGGAACAGCTTTGGGGTCACTGCGCTGATGATCTTTTCCTACCAGGGCCCTAGTCCCAGAGCTGGGGCCATTTTTGCAGCTAATAGTTGCCCGGAGGAAGAAGTGAGGAAAACACGAGGACAGGCAGGCGTGCTGACGGCTGCTGTCTCCCCAGCTGGGGCGGTCCTTTTTTTGTCTGACTCTTACTCATTTCCTCTTTTTGCTAGTGTGTTCCTGCTGTGTTCTATCATCAGCAGGACAGTTTAGGCAGTTTTGTTTGGGGAAGTATCCACCTTATGGGCATGGAGAGCCAAATCCAATTTGAAACATGCACCCAAAATGAAAGGAGAGAGGAGGCTAATTTCCTTTGATAGTAAGTGCTTGCCAAACCCACGAGAGCTCCGGTGGAACAGAAATGAAGAGAGAAGGAGGGAGGGAGGGAGGAAGAGGGCAAGAACAAGACAGAACTTCCAGGACTTCAATTAGATTAATTGTTCCTTTCGCAAGAAAGTAAAACAAGGCAGTGGGAAGGAGAAGCCAATTTATTCCGAATGCAAAGGGCCACGCAATAGCATTCAAAAGATAATACCTTGAGGAAGGAGAAGTTGAAAGAATCAGATTGTCCTTCTAAATACAAAAATTAATAAGGAAGAGAGACAAAGGAGGAGTGGAAGAGGATTGGGGGAGAAGAGGGAGAATAAAGGATGAAGTTAAGTAGTTGAGGCTTAACCCCAACAAAGTCTTCCTGACAAGTGGGCCTTTTGGGGGAATACACCCCCAAAATACTATTTTTTGACCTTCCTAACCTTTTAGGTGCAAGCCGGAAGCATGGAATGGGGCCTTGAGGAGAAAAACAGCAAGTTACTTAGTGTGGATGATAAGCCAGAAGATAACCTGCAACTCACTGCTTCTCCTGCTCCAACTTTAGCAAGAGACTTTGTCCCTGCGGCCATCAGAGGCATGATAGTGCTGAGTCATGTGAAGCGAAGGTTATTTTCCAGCCCAAACCAGGGCAGGAGCATGTTTTTCTGGCCTTTTATCCTTCCCAACATGTTTTCAGCCATGCTCACTTGCTCCCAAATTTTCCCTTCCAAGAGTTCTGCCTTCCCCCTCCGCCACTATGAATATCCATAAGATGACCTCTTAGCAATTTCCCTGGGAGATCTGCTGGCATAAGCATAACAACATTTGGCCCTCAGTTGAGAGAGGTGCTTAGTCAAATTTCTCTGAGCTCAGACCCAAGCTCTCTGTACATTAGGCTTCAGTGTGTGCCAACCCCCTGCAGCCCAGCCAGAGGAACCACGATGAAAAACAGCTCTTCAAACAGAAATACTTGGTAAAGTTCACTGTCAGGGACTGGGAAGCCTGCAGATGCTGGGCAAACACATGCAGTGTGTGCATTTCACCAAGACAAAGAAGAACTGGTGCATTACCCTATTGTCATCCACTGGGCCCAGAGTGGACTGGGATTAGAAACTTTGGTTTATGACTCTTAGTCACATGAGGCATCCATGCATGAGGAAAAACCTTGGGTTTTCAACAAAGACTACCTCTTGTTAGGAGAACACCATTATGTAGGTGCGAAGTAGTCCTGGGAGGATAATAATGACATCAATTCACTGAGCCTCACAGTGTAGCATTAGTTAAAGAGGGCCTTGTTTCCTCCAGGAGGAAGCCAAGGGCCAGATCCAGGCCGGCTCTGAAACGAGTGCTGGGAGCTTCACCCGCTCCTTGGACCTTCCCACCAGCTGGCCCTGTTGTGGATGTTTAGTACTCCCACCACTTAGGTTACAAGGAATGCTCAGACTATTTATGAATCAGATGGGAGCTCTGAACATCTATCGGAGCAGGGGAGTCTTGACGGTGCTTGTTTGGAACAGACCATCATGGTTGATGCATTCTTTTCTGCACAGAAGGCTCTCACTTTTGTTTTAATGAAGCAAGACTTTAAGATCACACCCACTTGTTGTTGTTGTTATGTGCTCTCAAGTCAGCCCTGCCTCAAAGTGACCCCTCCTTGGGTTTCCGAGGCGGTATCTCTATGGAAGTAGATTGCCCAGTCTTCCTTCCAAGGAGGGGCTGGTGGGTTTGAACCGCCAGCCTTCTGGTTAGCAGTCAAGTGTCTTGGGCACTACACCACTAGAGCTCTTACTAGACAGTATAAAAAGCAGTTGCCTCTAAGTAGGCCCCAACTCAAGGAGATTCCATGTGCGTCTGAGTAGAACTGTGCTCCATAGGGTTTCCAATGGCTGATTTCTTGGCAGTAGATCACCAGGGCTTTATTCCCAGTGCCTCAAGGTGAACTTGAACCTCCACCCTTTCAGTTACTAACTGAGGGCATTAACCATTTGCATCAACCAGAGATTCCCCAAAGTCCATATTCATCGATATTCTTGACATCCCAACACTGCCTGCTCCCTTGCCTTAACTTTTAGGGGCTTTAGTGCTAGCAAAGCATTTCTAAAGCACTCACACTTAGGAACTGCCTAAGTCACACATTTCAAGGGGCAGAACTGATGTAAGAACAACTGAGTCACTTCAAGTAACTTACTTAAGCTCTTTGGGTCTCAGTTTTCACAACCGTAAAACAGAGATAGTAATGGCACCATCCTTCCAGTCTGCTGTGAGAACTGAATGGATTAATATTTGTAAAGCAATTCAAACAGTGTTTGTTAAATAAATCCATAAGGCCAGCTTTGAGGCTCTAACCTGTGCAGTACAGATATTAAGAATCCGTATGAATCTTTGACCTACTGCTATAGACTTAGATGTTTTATTCTCTCTTTCTGTAAGGAAACCAGCAGGCTCTTTGTAAAATAATAGCCTGATCTTCCAAGGCTGGAAGTTAAAGGAAATCTCTGCTTGGGATCTAGCTACCATTTTATGAACGAAACTGGTGGGGTTCCCATGTGGCAGCAGCAGTAGAAAATGAGGAAATTTCTCACTATAGGCAAATCCCAAAGTCAAGACATGGGGTTTTGAAATCCATCTTCTTGCAGCCACATGGAAAGTCTCCCTCCACCACTAACCTTTACAGGGTGTGTCATGGATTGAATTGTGTCCCCCAAGAATACATGTCAACTTGGCTGGGCCAAGATTCTCAGTGGTTTGGCAATGATGTAATCATCTCCCATGATGCGATCACTCAAGCATTTATAAGGGGATTAGGGTGGGATGCAACACCTTTCCTCAGCTCATAGCCCTGATCCCATGTAAGGAGAATTTCCCTGGGGGGTAGCCTATATCACCTTTTATCTTATAAGAGATAAAAGGAGAGATGAGAACAGAGAAAGAGGGACTTACTATCACCAAGAAAGAAGTGCCCGGAGTGGAGCATGGCCTTTGGACCTGGGGTACCTGAGCTGAGAACCTCCTAGCCCCAGGGAAAGACTGATGCCAAGATACATGGAGCTCTCTGAGGAGCACTGGGCCCACAATGTGGAAAGGAGATAAGGACCTTCCCCTGGTGCTGACAGAGTAAGAAAGCTTCTCCTAGATTTGGACTTCTAGGTACTGAACTATGTGAGAAAAAATTTGTTTGTTAAAGCCATCCACCTGTGGTATTTCTGTTATTGCAGCACTGGAGAACTAAGACAGGGTATTATTCTTTATTCTTTCACCCAAGAAAGCAGTTGCTGGGTGGTGCAAACAGTTACACAGTGGGCAGCTAACTGAAAGGTGGAGGTTGGAGTCTATTCAGAAGTCCCTCAGAAGAAAGGTGTGGCAACCTACTTCTGAAAAATGAGCCACTGACTACGCTCTGGAGCCCAGTTCTCCTGTAAGACACGTGGGGTTGCTAGGAGCTGGGAATGACTGGAGGACCATTGGTTCTGGGATTAGCGGGACCTCTTTTTCCTCATAAAAGAGAAAGTCATGTTGATGTTTTCCTCTGGGACCAAGATGTACCATTGCTTAGTGGGTCCTGGGGCTATGGGTGCTGACACTAGGTGACAGGGGTAGCAGGAGTTTAGGGGGAAGACAGGTGGGCAGTGTTAGTCTCATGGCTATTACAGGGGACTGGGAGAGTGCTTACTTGCAGTCGTGCTTCTCGATTTCAAAGTGAGGGTTGAAGTTGAGGACAATCTTCTGGTTGGGTTCAGGGGCATAAACAATCCACTCGCAGTTCTGGTGGGAGGGATAATCCTGGGGGTAGCCTGGGGAGGTGATGTAGCCAGCATCCTTGGAATTCAAACGACCTCCACAGGGTGGGTCTGAAAGAGAAAGCAAACAACCCAAGAACGTCAAATATGCTACAACTCTTTCCCCCCTCTCCTGTTTCTCTTCTCTACCAGTGGCTGATTAAAACTATCTTACAGACCTTTTATGGCAGTCCACCAGGCTGACTTAGTACTCAGTCAGTGGAAGAGATTAGTTCAGCTCATCCAACCCCTCAACACACACACACGCACACACACACACACACACTCCCCAAATGAAAATATTCCAGAAAATGGTCATAAATATTCCCAATTACATGATCGGAGATTAGGAAAACAAGAGGGCTGCAAACTCAACATGCCTCCCTGCCTTTTCCTGTCTCCTCTCTTTGGCCCATCTTCCTTTCCTCATTCAAACCTCCCATCTTTATCTTTGTCTCATAAATCCTTCATTTTACTGGGTGTCTCCCAGCCAGCCCAAGCAGCCAGCAGTGCAGGCTCCAGGAACTGACAATAGTGGTTTTGTGGTGCCGACCCACAAGCAAGCCTGGTAATAATTACAAGTGATGCGGAGGAAGCACTTTCAGCTTTGGGCCAGAACAGGCCCTGGAGGGTGATTTTCAGCTTTTCTTTTCTTTTTTTTTTTAAAGAAAAAGCAAAATCTCCAAACATTTAATTTTGCATCAACCACAAATACAATTTATTATTTCATTATACATGGAGTGGAAGAATCTGCATTGGATAATCCACTTGCTCCAACCTCAGAGTTTCGACAAAGGTGCTTTGTGCTAAATGGATGCGTGTGATTTCCCTGTGTTTCTGCTCCCTGTCCCTCCTGCCTGGTCGCCACCGCCAGAGTGTGCTGCTGCTTTATGCAGCCATTTGCAAGGTGCGGGGAGCAGCTGACTCTCGCCTTCCCAGCAGTACCTGGCTGGAGGTTAACAGCATCATGTGGGCTAAGAGGGAAGGGGGCACTCTTCAAAGGCAACAAAGGTGGGTGATGACATTTGAAGCTCTATATATTTGGGAGCAAAGTTCTGAAGTCCTCAGGAGGGATTCTTGGGAAGTGAGGGTTTTGTTTAATACCGCAGCAGAACAGAGGACGGAAAGGCACAGAGACGTGGAAATATTCAGAAGCCACTTGGAGACCTTCCTAAGACGTGTGTCTCTCTTAGCATCAATCACGGTTTAATATCGCCATCTGCATGGAGCAGCGTGGGCCCGTGAATTATGTATTATGGCTCAGCAGCCACCCTCCAGGATGGGGTCTTTCTCCTGTGTTCCCTATTTGAGGCAAAGGGTCATGCATTTTTTAACTCTACAGGTGCACTTAACTACTCCCCGTGTCTGTTGGCATTACTCTCTTCCAGACCTCTGCTTTAGATTACCACTTGACAGGCTTTAAATGCATAAAAGATGGGCACGCTGCACAATGGTGGTTGGGACACACAGCTCCACACCAGTAGCCTCTTAGGCATCGTGCCTTCAAGAGCTCAAACTGTGCGCTGCTGAACTGCCAGAATCTAATGGATTCAGGTTCCATTTCCTACTGGGTGACTGGGTGGAACACAAAAGCAGGCCATTTTTCCTGGCTAGAGGAGACCAAGCCATCTCTACCTAGTGACCCACACCCTTCCCAGTCCAGGAGGACAATGAGCCCAGCCCTCACACCCAGGTGCCGATGAGGCCTGCCCTGAGGCTGGGGGCTGCCTGTTCCTCTGCAGACTTTCTACAAGTCTGCAGCACCCACCCACACTGGGCACCCAGCATCTTCTGCAAGTTGTCAGACCGTGGCCTAGTGCCCCAGCTCATGAATGTGAAACAGGGCTGGGAGTGGCCGTCTGAGAAAGCAGAGGTGTGGGGACTTAGATCACCAGCTGCTCTTGCCAGGGAGCTGGAGAGCAAAGTACAAGACTCTTAATGGAAGGGTGGCATTTGAACCTACCCCGCACCAACGTGGAAGAAAGGCCTGATGATCGGCTTCTGTAAAGATTACGAGAAAGAACAACGACAAAAAACCCACAGTGGAGTTCTACTGGGCGGCAATGTGTTTGGTTGCTAGTTTGGTCTGTTTTTTGTTTGATTTTTGTTTTACAGAAAACTGCAGCCCTAACTCACCCAAACCACACTTTTTGACTTGCAATTCATCAGAAGAAACCTGAGGTGAGCCCAGTTTGGTAACCATTATGGTTTCCATTTCATCCATACTCTCCTCCTCTTTCCCCCACCCCTTCTCTCCTTCTCTCCAATTACCCTGGACAGAAAAACTTCTTCCCCTCAACTCACCACACCCCAGGTTTCAGCTTTTAGTAGTAACTATACCAGGCAATGGTCTAATTGCTATCAGCAATAAAGACAGAAAAGTTCCTCATAGGAAGCTTTTATTTCTCATTCACACTGGAAGTGATCACTTAATTTGTGTGTGTGTGTGTGTGTGCGTGCGTGTGTGTGTGTATCCCATAGCAGACAGTCCCTGCGTTTTCTCAGTTTAAAAAATTACTTAACCAATGGAAAAAGGAGTAACCCATTTTTCTTTTCTGCCTTTTCTTTATCTGAAGAAAAGCAAAGCATTTATTAAAATATCTAAGAATTCATAAAAACATCTGCTTTGGTTGTGTGTGGTTAACCTTTTCAATACCCAAACATTTGCATACTCACATTCGTATTTGAATCACACTCACACTCAAAAACACACACAAACACTGATCAGTTGAACACACATCAGTTACATACACATATACATATTAGTAATTCACATGTTAGTCCTGTACACACTTTCACACCCTCTCACAAAATATCACACTTCATTGCACAGATGTATATCCACGAAGATAATATTTTTCTTGGAGAGAGTGGGACTCTTGAAATACGTAAGTAAACACTGCAAAGAAGACACATCTAATCCTTCTATACCTCCTCTTGATAGCCAATCGTTTTTATTCCAGCTTTAGTGACCCTTCTTCTCTTAAACACATACACGCTCCCAAATGAAATTAGCTAGAATTCCATAACTCTGGGGGTCTTTACTGGATTCCAAAATGAACTTCACAAATGCTCTCCGTCCGGTTTCAGAAGAGTCAAGTCATGCCAAAGGAGAGTTGAACTCTAGGGCAAACCCCTGAAGGCCAGCCTCCACACACAGAGGGCAAGGTGACCCTGTTGAAGTTTGGGCTACCGAGCCTGTTTGGTGAGTTGACAAGGGCCCTCATTCTCCAACTATTTCAAGAGGAGCTTTCACCTGGGGCAAATTCATTTTCCAAAGAGAAGTAGCAAAATTCAGGCCTGGACTGTTCAAGGCAGGTTTCCCCTACATCAGGGAGAGAAGCCTACAGGATGGGCCAGGCCAAGCTGAATAAAGACCCAAAGCCCAAGGATGAAAGGAGTAAGGTGACACGTCCAGATGTAATTGAAAGAAAGAGAAAATTATAAACTGTAAGGAAGTCCATTGAAGTTCTGATTTTTTTTTTTTTCTTTGCCCCATAACAACTTCTTAGGTGCTTTTATTTGAAATGTAAATATCAAATTATTTTAATCTCTTTTTCTCTTGTTTGTTTTTTTTTTTAGTTTTCTTTTTGGTTCCCTTGCTTTGGTGGTGGCCTGAGCACCATCTGGTGTTTACTGGGGGTAACCTGGCCCTGGATCAAGTAGAGAATTGTGTATTTATCCATTTACAACTCTAAGTCACTTGGCCAGCTTCAGAAGTAGCTCATCCTGCATAGAATCCAATTTAAGAAAAAAATCAGTTTCCTTGGTAATTAGGAGTCCCTATAGTGCAAAGGGGGAGCTCTGGTAGCATAGTGCCTAAGGCACTTGACTGCTAACCACAAGGCTGGCGGTTCAAACCCACCAGCCACTCCTCGGAAGGAAGGTTGGGCAATCTACTTCCATAGTGATATCACCTCGGAAACCCGAGGGGTTTATCGGGGTCGCTATGAGTCGGGTTTGACTCGATGGCATATAACAACAACAACATAGTGCAAAGGATTAAGCACTTGACTGCTCAATGAAAGGTTAGCTGTTCAAACCTACCCAGAGACACCTTGGAAGACAGGCATCTTTTCAAAGGTCCCAGCCTTACAAACTCTATGGAGTGCTTTTACTCTGCACACATGGGGTCACCATGAGTCAACAACCACATTACCAGGTCCTCTCAAGTTGACTCTGACTCATGGCAACTCCCTGTGTACCAGAATAGAAGTGTGCTCCATAGGGTTTTCAATGGCTGACATTTTTTCAGAAATAGATCACCAGGGCTTTCTTCTGACGCATCTCTGGGTGGACTCAAACATCTGACCTTTCAGTTAACAGGTAAGCACATTGGTCATGTTCCCGCCCAGGGACTCTTAGGAAGTTATTAGGTAAGAGTAGGAATAAAAGAAGCTTTTGAAAAACCAAGTCTGCCTTCGAGGGAAATTCAATTGGAGATGTTTTAAAGGAACAGTATGGCCTGAACTTGAAAATAATATTTGCTGAAAACCAAAGCCCGACTGTAGTGAGGACTCTTAAATCATCAGAATTACAATGGCTTGCTTCACAACAGCCAGAGCCTCTGCTTGGTGATACCAGACAACAACAGCCTGCTGGCAGCCCTGGGGTAAAAGAACATGGCTTGAATTGAAGGAAAGAGTGTTTGGCAAAAACAGAGGGACTTGGAAACTGGCTGGATGTGGGGTTGGCGAGACAGGTTTTGTCAGAGGGGGATCTGGGGTAAGGGGATTGGGTCACCCCGAAGGGAGAAGATGACGTTACCAGGAAGGGAAGCAACCTCTGGATCCCTAACTCGTGGGACCTTCCTGAGTCTCAGCTTCCAAAATGGTAAAATGAGTGGGTCGAATTCAGTCTGCAGTTCTCAACACTCTTTTTAGAGGTGGTACTTTTTCTTTTCACCTCAAGCAAAACTCTACCCAGAGCCCCAAAGTTGAAAGCAGATAAAAGTGGAGCTCTTCTTGGGTGCTGGGAGGGAGGCGGAGGGTGGTAGAGAGGTGGGTGGGGAGGGTGGAGTGTGGTCCTCCCAGCTCCTCCCTTCATCCCTGAGGGGTTTCTCTGCAAGAACA